ACGACACTTGGACGACGTTGTTTCCGGACAAGTTCAGCAGAGCGTTTCCGTTTCCATCGTTCAACGTCAAAGATTTGGATACGGTGGACAACGGTATCGTGTCACATCTGATATCGGAAGTGCGCAGTTCCGACTGGCAGCTACTCATCGCCCATTTCCTCGGCGTTGACCACTGTGGCCATACTTACGGCCCTAACCACCCAAGAATGGCGCAGAAGTTGCTGCAGATGGACAGAATCATTAAGTAGATTAAGTTGTAACAACTTTTAGCATAATACTAAGTTTTTAAGGGATGTGATAGACGTTATGGACGATCGTACTGTGCTTTTTGTGCTGGGCGATCACGGAATGACGAAGACCGGTGACCATGGCGGCGAAAGTGCAGGAGAACTCAATGCAGCACTTTTTGTGTACAGTCATTTAGCGCTCCACAGGCCGATGAAGGTGTCTGATTGCGCAGATTAGGTTTTCTTTCTCTTCCTCCAGTGTCACAATATCGTGTTCGGCGCTAGAATGCGTAAATGATAAGTAACGTTCGCGATTGTCGTTGAATTCTGATCGATGATTAAATGGAAATGGAGTTTTGTTTCTGGTTCCTGATAATGTGCAACCATCTTGTCAAAAGGATTTTTCAAGAGAACCTGTTGTGATCCATTATTTGTTAGTGGTTCCGCCGTTGCAGCCACGTTGTTTGCTGTTACTGTTCTACACTGGAGTGACATCGAAGCAGTTTTTCACTTCGACATGTTATACACCACAAACTGTTCCATCTTATTACAGTCATTTCTTAAAATCCCATCACTTTTGCAATTTCATGCAATGGATCTTATGCAGTATTCTGGTATGTGGGTCGAAAAGCAAGTTCTTCACAGAAAGCGTCGAGTTTTATGGAGGAGAAGTTTCCTTCTTTGGATTGCATTTTGGTTTTGCCGTCTTAATTTTTTTAGAACCGATGAATGGTTGTACATTTCGTCTTTCTACTTCTAGCATCGAATTATTTCAGTGCTTTTCAGGAGTTTTGCGTTGCAGCGATTGAACTAAGCAACTGTAATAATTATCAACTGAATAAGCAGGCTACGCGTAATTACATAGAACACAACAGCTTTGGACGTTCGTCTGATTTCCCTTCTGTTTGCTGATGATTTCAACATGTTCACCTCCTCGCATGCTTACTTCAAACGTGTACTTGATCGGCTCGCTGCTGCACATGCTGAAGGTGGAATACAGATTAATCTAATCAGAGCCGACGTTTTTGGGCTGTCTAGAAACGTTATCGGTGTATGTTGCAGATTCGTTGGGCGAAACCGTGGCGGGTGGAGAATTTGAATTATTATCCCGGGTAGCATTCACGAATTACGGCAGGCACGTCGTGAAAGTAGATATATGTGAATGGCGTAAAAAGCGTAGTAATGTATGTGCTAAACTGATCTCTGATTATGGCAAAAGAGCTGGACAGCAGTTCAGAAATCTGTCTTTTATCTCTACTGTATCTCTGTCTGTTCTTTGTACTCAGCCGTCTTTACCTGCGGCCATGAACGTTGGATGTTGACTAAAACAGTGTTCCGGGTTCAAGTGCCAGAAATGAGGTTATGTTAGACGATCGTCTGACGAAATTCGGCAAGCTTCGAAACCTGTAATTGCAATTTCATGTAAGATGCTGTTGCTCCTGCGTTGTTCCTTCCTTGTTGTTTCATAGTCGAGAGGTCGCAGTCACGGTGTGTTGAACGCGTAATCATCATGCCGGAGAGGCACTCTGGATTAGCTCTGTTCGCAAGGCTTGATGGAAGGTATCAAAGGGACAGATTGAGGTTCAGTTGAATCAGTTAGATTGAGCACCTAACAATTCTAACATACCTGATTGGTCGCGCATTAGAATCCACCTTATGCTGCCTGTAGAACTGACAGACCTTCTGGACCGTTGTTTAAACCACTTGAAGTTGCCTCTTCAGGAACCAGAAAGGAACGGTGATATTTTAAAACGAATAGATGAATGAAGTGTGAATTATGCATTACCTAAAAGCGATAGGGAATTTCATCGTTATGTAGTAGTTCGTTCAGACTCTTTCGTCATTTTTTACGTATCCAGTTATCCGTAATTAATTAAAGTGCTTTTTTGCCGTTGTCACTACCTTTCGGTTCTTAAAGCGTTCGAATGAGTTTGAACACTTGTTTAAACATTAATATTTGGATACGTATCTTCACGTAATCCTGTTTTAGAATCTTCGGAAAACAGTGGCTCAGATTGATTTTGTGCCGTCATTGGCGTTGCTGCTTGGCGTGCCGATACCATTCTCAAATCTTGGATCCGTCATACCAGAGCTTTTCATGGATGATGAATATGCACTGCGAGCATCGCGAATCAATATCTATCAGGTAAATAAGTGTTATTGTTTATTCACAAATTTTCGACTTATTTCCGTCTTTACCGTCCTGGCCATGGAAAAATAAACTTTCTGTAGTGCCTTGTGACTCCGAACTATAATTTCACGCACCATTATATGAAGTTTAACTTCCGTGTCTCCTTAAATTTGACCTCAGGTCTACATTTTGAAAATGGCAACTTCCAAAGTGTCAGGTCATATGCCGCAGTGGTTGGTTGTTTTTTCCAAGGTCGCTGCAATGGCTGCGAAAACCTATCAATTATTCAGACTTGGGCGAACGATGTAGCCGGAAAAAGGCAGATCTGTATAAAAGAATTCTTTAACTATCAACCTCAGTGAAAGCATTTGAATTTATGTTCCAAAGGATTTATTAACGTATGCAGCCGTGGTTGCTTTCATACAGAAACATTATGAGACAATGTAGAATGCTCGAATACCCTACAAGTTGCAAAAGTAAACAATTTGTTACGGTTTAATACATTATGTGCTCACTATCCAACATAGACTTTATTTACAGTTAGTTGTTTCTGTCTGTCCGTGTTTCCGACAATCCTGGAGATGAATGGCAAAATGAATTCTCTTTATAGTTCATTGCGGGTTGGGATCCCATTAGATTTATTTGTGTGTTATATGTGTCGATTTCTTTAGCAACTTTTCTGCCTTGCCGTAATTTGCTCCTGATTTAGCATGTTCGTCGAAAACGGTACTTTTGCTAGCTGTTTTACTGCTGAAAGCTGCACAGCCACTCTCATTGTGTACTGAGTGTTGCCCTTCCGACTGTTAATTTATCCTCCAGCCAATCATAAATTTTCAGCCAATACCATACATTAGTTGATGTCCACCCATGAAACTATGACTCCAAAATCTTTGCTACACCTCATTATGAAGAAGATCTGTGGGATGGATCTAATATCTCTGAGCCAGTTAATCATGGTTTCCCTGGAGAATGACAGTTTTGAGTCCCTATATTTGAAGTGGTCAGGCGACCGAGTGTTGTTCTAATTATTGTAGCTTCACAGATCTGTAATTTCTCGGGAAACTGTTATT